TAAACGGAAATGGCCCTTTGATTCTAGGAGGAGGTTAATCATTTCATCATGAAGGAAGACACAAGCTGCCCTGTCCCACCTGTTTTTGTCTTCTATTGCCTTCAGCCATCTATGCCTTTCATGTTGTCTTTTACTTTGCACTTTCTCACTCTAACTAACTCCACAGGGATCCCTGAGCAGGCCTCAGCAAACATCGTCATTATCGGAAGGGGGGCACTCCTTGGGGCTAAAACAACAACAACAACAACAAACATCACAACCTCTAAATAATTTACTCTCCTGTGAGGCTGCCAGCGATCTTGGACCAGCCAGCCAACAAACTGGGATGCAGTACAGCACAATTATGAGCTAAGTGTCCCTGCAGGGCCCCTCCAACAATGTTCCTTTACCCCTTCAAAGCTGGTGCCCATGAGTCGATTGGCCAGTCCAGGAAAGCAGAGGTCATTAAGATCTAACTGATAGCTTTGAAGTGAATAACGAAGATTTGAAACAGACCCGGTCAGGGCGCTGATGTTTTTGGGCAGCCTTCAAAAGATTCTACTTGTGGTTTGGATGCACTTGAGAAATTATAAGAGGTTATGTTCCTTGTCACCCCTTCACAATGTCACACCCCTGATGTTCTGGTTGTTCTCTAACAAAACTTTTTCGAGTTTGAACTGAAGATTTTGCCAGGAGGCATTTCAGGCTTTCTATGAGTCCATTCATACCCCGCGTAGGTTTTGTGGGTCTACTGTACGCTAATTTTGGTGACTCCAATTAATACTATCTACGAGGAGGTTTATGTAAGGGCCACAATCTGAAGAAAGTTAAGGGGCCAAAACAGGGATCTGATTGGAATAAACATTGAGATATTGTAGCATTATTATCTTGAAAATTCATTAAAAACTGTATCTCTTTCAAACCGTCAAAGGGTGGGAGTGTTATTTCAGACATCAAAAAGATTAGCAGCAACAGGTGGGGAAGGGGAAGCCATGTATTGCACTGCAATACATAGAGTCAATAGACCTCAACTTACTCAGATGTTTTCCCTGGAATCTCACTAATATAGCATTTTATTTAAGGAAAACATTTTAATATGTTGTGTTGTTTTTTTATAAACATAGTTATACCTACAAAACAGAAATCCACCCATCCAAATTTTATAGAACAAGTAGCTGATTTCTGAATTAAACAGCTAAATGTAGCAGTGCATTGACCATTCTGGCCCTGCAGAGCCTTAAGTGTGAGGAATAAACCTTAATCTCTAAACCTTCACGTATTCACAGAGATGCAGAAAGCACAGCATAATTAAAAAGTGGGGGTAGTGAGGGGTGGAAATATGAACATGATGCAGTAAACTTTTAATAATGGGAGCTTGTGCTCATTTTCAAGCATCTGAGGTAATATTTATCTAAAGCTTTTAGAGGGTGACATTTTTATTCAGCAGTGCTCCTTATAATTGGATAAATAATACCAAACTTTAAAATAAATGGCGCTTTAAATTACTAACAGGACATTTTTCCCTCTCAGAGAAACAGAAACAGTGATGAAAGGAAAACATGACCTGTAAGCTATGTTTCTTTCTGAATCTTACAATAATTAAAACTGTGAATTGTTGATTTTACCATAAAGTCAAGGTTTAAGAATAAAACCTTATGAGTTATCAATAAGACAGACATAAAAAGGAACTTGTCTGTTATCTGGTTGTGTTTTGTTGTTGTCGATGACTGAGATACGATTTGTGCGTATTCCCATGGAAGATTACCAACCGCCCCAACAATAAAAAGTAACTTAATTACAGAGTCGTGACTCCTGACTGTGCGCTAATGGCAGTCAGATCCATATGAGGTATGTGCTGACATGAGTGGAGGCTGGCCAACGAGTGAGGACAATAAAAGAGATAACAGAGAGAGAGGAAGGGAGAGAGAGACGGAAACAGCTCCTACTGTACTTAGACTGGGCTTTGCTCCCCTTCCACTGCAGGGGACGATGGTGAAGGGCCAAGAAACCCATCAGATCCCTGAAGGAAGTGGGTCAAACTGGTCACGAATCTATCCTGTTACAAGTCATCAGAACAATTCAGATTGCAACTGATATATCTGAGAGGACTGGTTTTATCTCACACTATGTAATATATTTACAAATGCGTTGTCAACCGCAGAGGACGCTCTATTTGCGGATTATACAACATCCTGAGCAACAGTTCTTATTTTAATAAATACCAGTCAGTCTGTTGTGATCCAACAACTGAGGGCCTGAAACTTAACGCTTATTAAATCAAAGCAGCAGCTGATATAGAATATATATTTGATAGCATTTAACAGATTAGAAACCGCAAACCTGCATGATGTCCTCTACAAGCTACAGGCTGAACTAAAGCAGGAAGCTGCTGTTATGTTCGGAATTAAAGTGGAGATAAATTAATCTTATTTTAGGTTAACGGGAGCAGAAAGTCCTCGTCTTCAGCACATTGCACCAAGAATAGATTGCATTATCACTGAGGGCAGGCCTGAGGATGCTCTGACAGCTGTTATAGGAGCCTGGTTTTAGATAAACTGCAAAACAACATCAAGAAGTGGGGAATTTTCCTCTAACAACCTGTGAGGCATAATGAATGAGATGAGACATGGTATGTGTGTGACCACAGGCCTCAGTGGTCAGTCAGTCGAGCTATCCTCAGGAATGGCAGAAGGAGAGTTATGCAACCACTTTAATAGGTCTCATATTGTCAGTTATTTTGGCCCTATCGCCACTGAGATCCCATTGTACCTTACAAAGTGTACTCAGTGCCCTTTGAGCCAAAAATCACAAGACTTCACTAAAGGACACACAGTTGCTAATTACTACACCTCCACTCAGAAAGCCAGAACAAAAAATGTAGATGTAAAGACATACTTCACTGATTAACAGTTTTAGTTTAACTCAGAAAACATCTGATTCACTAAAGGAAAAGGTTTTTTATTTATATATTAAATAGGGAATTTCCACAGGTAATCAGTGGTAACAGCTTTATTGTATAAAATACAATAAAAATGCTATTTATTCAACCATTTTCCTCCTGGAATAAGAATGTCTCAACACTTCATGTACTCTTCCAGGTTTTCCCTTTAATGGACTTAATAACTTAACAAATAACAGCTTCTTCTCTCCTTAGGGAAGAAAAGTACCCCTCAGCATTAAACTGCCATTACCATGTTGCAAAGTTGGAATTGTGCATTCTGGGTGATATGCTGTGTTGGGACATTATGAGTTTAAAATCTGGTCTCATTCAACCTCAGCACCTTCTTCCCAATGTTTCTGTTCCCCTAAGCATCTTGCGGTACATATTATAAATAAGACCTCTACCTGCTTCCTTCTAGCCACTTTCTCTGGGACTCTTCTTGCCAGTTTAGCTAGACAGCCATGTCTTAGTAGGTGTGCTGTTGTGTTAAACCTGTTCTGTTCCAATGATTTTCATAGCTTGGGATGAAGTTTTATATTACCTAAACCTGCTTAAACCTCTTTTCAACTTTCTCCCAGACGTGTCTGCTGTGTTCCTTTGTCATTATAACACTGCTTGTTGACTAATTTCCTACCGAACTTCTGAAGCCTTCACAGTAAAGCTCAGCTGTAAGGAAATGACACACAGTTAAGCTCTACTTACTAATCCGGTTACTTCTTAAGGAAATTTGTTGAACTGGACTTTATTTTGATACGTCAAAAGTAAAAGTGGCTTTTCAGAGTTTTATATTTAAAATAAGAAACTAAAAAAATATTTATACAACTTTCCTTCGGTCGCACAATTGTAATTATAATACCTTGCAAAAATCTAAGGCATAAAATCCAAACCAAATAAGAACTTCTATATAAACAGATTGCAACGAGATGCCTTAGAGTTGCACCTGAGGAGCTGATGGACAATTTCCATGAGTCGTTTTCCCTTTCAAAAATTGTGGGCATCAAGCTGCCTCTCATTCAAATTCGGATGATAAAGGAGTTTCATAACAACCAGACATCCTGCCCCATAGGCTGCCACAGAAAAGTCAGATTTCTGTTTAACAATGCAGAGCTCATCAAACTCTTCAGTGGATTTCTGCATCTGTATCATAATTGTATCAAATGTTGATGTTTTATTCACTACTAAAGGCTCTGTGCAGTACAAAAACCAGATGACCCTGAGGCGAAAGGTATGATTGGATAAACTTAGAAAAAAGATAAGCCCCAAAATTTAATTTGAATTTAGAAAAGCCTAAGAGTCAATTTAATATCATTTCTAATAAAGGATCCACAGATGAATACTGCAAAGATAATAGCATTTCATAATTATAATGGTAAACAACAATGAACATTTCTGCAAATTAGAACCAACAACATCTAATAAACAAGTAAGCCACTGGAAGAAAATGAATATCTGTCTTTAGAAGTTAACCTGCTGTATCTTTGCTCAGGTAGAGCAGTGATGTCTGTCACAGCATAATGAAGCTTTCTGTGTTGCTGCAGGAAGAATTAAGTGCTCTAATTAGCACTCTAATGTAAAGAGTAGTGATAATGGAAAGAAGTGCCTTGTGAGGTTCACTAATGTTGCACACAGAAAGATCACTGTGACCTGGGGGGTGCTGTACACGCACATTCCTTAGGAATTGATCAACTGCAGCTTATTGACAGGAAATTAAAATGATTATTCCGCATTTTTGGAGAATTTATTACAAAAACACATATTGCACAATTCAAGACGTCATTTTACAGTAGACAGCTATTTTTACTGTTAAAGGCAACAACTATGAACCATAAGTGACAGTCTGAGAGCTCACCAAAATATGTTTAAAAACAATATGTTCTCTATCAGTGTATGGAGCCATTTCAGCCAAAATTAAATAAATAAATGGGTGAAATGGCTCTCCATATCAGTGGAGGATCTGTTTGTAAATTGGGGTTGAGAACAGCTTGTATCAGAGCAGAATCTGCAGTTTTTCACCTGTACCTGTACATGGTAAAAGCAAGTAACATTAAACTTTGTGGCTGAACAAGTACAGACACTTTACCTCCAGCGGGTTTTCCTGATAAACAGCAGAAACGGTCTTCTTCTGGTTGATCCTGCAGAGATGTTTCCCAGGCAGTCTGCTGCAGTCCTCGCAGACAGCCTTCTCCAGCCTCCAGCAGATGGATGAATGCGGTCCGGCTGTTCACTGTTTGCTGTACTTTCTTCCACAGCTGATCTGCTGCACTGTACAGCTGTAGAGTAACAGCCTGTCTAACTCCACTGTCTGTTCCTGCCTCCTTTTTTTTTTCTTCCTTTTCTGTGTACCACGAATGGGGGGAAAATGACTCAATGTCTCCCCCTACAGGCTCAGGCATGCATTTGTTTTAATTCCATAATTGAACTGCGGTCATCCATCCATTTTCTAACACGCTTAATCCCAAGTGGGGTCACGAGGGGTGCTGGTGCCTATCTCCAGCTGTCTACGGGCGAGAGGCGGGGTCCAGTGCATGGGGCAACACAGAGACAAACAACCATTCACACACTTATTCACACCTAAGGATAATTTAGAGAAGCCAATAAACCTAACAGTTGTGTTTTTGGACTGTGGGAGGAGTACCCAGAGAGAACCCATGCATGCTCAGGGAGAACCTGCAAACTCCATGCAGAAAGACCCCGGGCCAGGAATCGAACCCAGAACCTTCTTGCTGCAAGGCCACTCCGCAGCCACTGCGGTCATTACTCCTGGCAAACATTTACAAACTTTTGATTCAATCAAAAACTTTAATTGGTAGCTAAATGAGACCAAAAGGTTGCAAGCTACGAGACAAATCTGAGTGCTGAAAATAAATGTAATTTTTATGAATATTTCATTCAAATGAGGGTGGGGTATTATTTTGAGAAGGTTGCAAGGAACCAGTTTGATCCCCACAGCCTGCAGTCTTGGTCCCTGTGCAAGACCCTTAATGCCACGCTGCTCCCCAGGCGCCTCACAGTGGTAGCCCACTGCTCCCTCAAGGGAAGGGTTAAGATGCAGAAGTGAATTTCTCCAATGTAAGATCAATTAAAATTAGCTATAATTCATCTTAATAAGCAGTTAAATAATACTACACTATATATATCACTATATTGAAATTACAGTAGACCCCTTTTATAACTGCTCATCATCTTATTTTAATCTTTTTATAATGATCATTGGTGGTTTCTTGCACATCACTCTAATCTTTAGCTCTTTCTACAAGTTCTTGTTAAAATCCTAGCAAAGTCTCTTCAAATTGTTTGTACTGACTCCTGTCAGAAGACACTCGCATGTCTTATAAAAATATTTTGGATCTGTTGGTGGTATGGAAGTGTGGAACTCTAAGAAATACATTTTTCCTATAAAAATGCAATCAGGACACTCTTGACCCTTTTAATGTTTTGTTTTAATAACTTAGCAGTCTATAAATTCATATTTTTAAGTACCCACAGTTAAAACCAGACATTTACATACACTACACATAGCTTTTTAAACTCACCGACTTTAAACCCAAATAAAAAAATATCCAGATTTTGGTAAATTTGGATAACTAAAATATTTCAATTTGCCAATAGTCAGAGTGATAAAAATTACTTAGGCAAATTTAATTCAGGTTTAGATCAATTCATACACATAAAAAAAGCCAAAAATAAATTTTTTATGTTGGTTTGGTGGAAGACAGATCCTGGCCAAGAGGTGTCACTTGATTTTCACTGAGTTGGTAACCCTAGCAGGAAAGAACAGAAGAATAAGTCACATAAATAATTTTCAGTTGACCCATGAAGCAAGGTATTTCTGATTATATTTATATTTTTCACATCACAGCTGTCTGTCCAGAGGGATGCTTCTCAGGTAATTGTTAACTTACATCAGGGTTGAACAGTAATGAATTAGCCCAAATCCTCACAGAAGTGCAACAACACCTGTGGAATAAATCGATCAATATTTAGATAAACATGCAAAATCTTAAAAATAGAAGAGACAAAAATTCAGGTCTCAGATGATTGTCAGCCTTTGCAGGGATATTTTGCAAGATATGTTTGCTATGATCTGCAACAAGGTAAAAATGAATGAAGCAATTAACCCATCATGCATAATTTTGGGGCAGTGGAAGAAAGCATGAACAGGGAGAGCAGGCAACATACACGCAAAAATACCTCCCACCAAAATTGGTACCCAACATCTTTTTATTGCAAATGGCAGAAATGAATATAACTAACACTGAATCAATATGTTAAGACTTTAAAGGGATTGAATTCCACCAGGTATTGATGCCACATCAAAAAGTTTATTTTTGTCACTGCAAAACAATCTCCAAAAGAACCAGTAAGGAATTAGCAGGGTGATTACCAAAGCAACACTGCCACCTACCGTCTTTTTTTCCCCCCTTATGTTTCTTGAAGCCTCAGTTCAGCTTTGGGTTGGTTTAATGTGGTGTCTAATTAACACACTGCCATGTGTTTGGTTCAAAAAGGTAGAAAAGTACTAGAAAGAGTGACCAGCAGAGTGGTTGCATAGAAGCAGAGAGGGCAGAGCTGATTCAGCAGATGAAACCTGCACTATGAGGGAATAGCAGATAGACAAGAGTAGTGCATGAAGCATTTAAACAGCATAAAAAAAAAAAAGTCACAATTAGTAGAAAATTTGATTACCGATGGTTATTATGGCAATGTATCCTGGACTGAGGCTTGTCACTTCCTTGCCACTGTCTGGATGGGTTGTTGGTGGGGAAGTAGCAGCTGAAAAGCAAAAAAAAAAAAAAACACCTATATTTAAAGGAAAAAGATAATCTGAAAAAAATGTATCTCCTCAAAATATTTACCATAAATCTGACGGCAGATTGGGTCAAGGTCTGCAGTAAAAAAAAAAAAAAAACAAAAGAAAAGAAAAAACTTTATTGAAAATATACCCTCAGCCAGCTCTATTATATTCAACAAACAACAAACACTGCATGTAAAATTTTATTGAGCAATAAGTGATGTTAATAGTAAAGTCTTAGAAATATTTTTCCATTAGTTAATTACTTATTTATTAATCTACACATCTGCAAAAAAGTAGGTCACTGTAGAAAACAAGCGATTAGAAGTCTAGTTTGTTTTTGTTTTAAGTTGTTTGATGTGGAGGACAGAGAGTAAGAATGTGGAATAAACGCGCTGGGACAAGAAGAAGGAGAAAATTAAGCCAAAAGACCTGTGTGATAAAAAAAACTAATCACCTAAACGAAACATCCACACTGTTGGTGGCAGCATCATGCTGTGGGAAGGGTTCTCTTTAACAGGGACATGTCAAGAATAATGGAAAGATGGATGATCAAAAACACAAGATAATCCAAGAAGAAAACATTGCTACAAAAATACTTGAGACTGAGGTTTTCTTTGCAGCAAGGCAAGAAAACTTAAAAAACTGCCAGAGCTACATGAAATGGTTTATCTGCAATAGAGCACTATATGATAGAATGGTCCAGTCAAATTACTGACTATCTTTCAGAAGAATAATCTGTGGCAAGACTTAAAATATTTTCTCCTTGTCAAAACTGAATGAGCTTGAATTATTTTGCAAATAAGAACTGCAAAAGAAATTTAGTCAGAAGATGTCACCTCTGGTGGTACATTTCTAAAAGGCTGAAACTGTTATTGCAAAAAAAAAAAAAAAAAACAGGACACAAAGTGAGTGTATATGGTTCATTTCAATTCCATGATCTCAAAGCTTTGTTTGACCAGATCTGTGTGGAAAAAATACCTGGTTAAATAAAAGTTATGATTATTTTATTTAATTTACCATTATTATTCTACTATTATCACTTAGTAATTGTCATTACAAACTATGCAAATGCAGAACACTAAAGACTAAAGACTGGAGGACATCAGAAAATACCACTAACTTGAAAAACTGTCATGATCTTGGTGCAGATGACTGGCTTAATTGCTCATTTCATTCACCTGTCCAATTCTTCCCGGGTTCTCATTACCTGTCATCAGAGCCACATTATTTCTCTCCAGCCTGTGGTGAGTGTTTTTATTGTACCTTAGGCCGGGCATACACTGTACGATTTTTTGCCCTTTTTGGGCAATTTTTTGATCAGACCGACTTTAAGCCGTTCTCCTGGCAGTTCTCCGTGCAGTTCTCCTGGATTGCAGCATCTGGGACACTGTAGGTGGCGCCTGCTGCATCTTGTTGGCAGCCCACCAGCTGGATCCTACATACATAGTCTTTATCCATTAGATTTACATTGTCACTAAGCCATTTCCTTTCTGCAGAGTTTCCTGTGATAGATGCCCTAGCCACTACTACTCTGAACCGACAGATTTTAATAAAGGCTTTTTGAGTTTTCCCACTGTCTGTCTTCCCTGAATACTGAGTCCGTCGGTTCTGACAAAAACGACAGGAAAGTTTGTGAGTGTTCCACTCAGACTTCCCTGTAGTTGTCAAATAAAAACTGATGTTTGTCAATGCAGCCAATATACTTTAAATCAGAAATACCTGAGCATTTTTTTGTAGCGATATAGTAACTATCCTCCTCAAATTCACAGGTGCTCCCCTTTCTGCTGGAAACAAATGCACGGCCATGAAATTGGCACACTGTATTAAGAAGAGGAGGTCCTGAGCAGTCTGGGATTGAGCCATGCGGAATGAGTTGGTCATCAAAAAACACTGTGACCACATCAGCAGCACATCCTTCAGGTTTGCAGTAAGACAGCTGTGGTGAAGCTCTGGCAGCTGTAACATCAAGTAGAAAATGTTTCTTATAAACATGTTGTTTAACACGTTAAGATCCATCTGAGTTAGAGGAGACATTTCTGACCTGTCAGACCTGGATGGCTCAGAGGGTTTCCCAAACAGTTATCCCTATGGAAAAAAAAGTAATATCCAGGTTTTCTGCTGGTGGCTAATGAGGACAGCTAAAAGTCTGCAAATTCTTCATGCTTTAGCTAGCAATGATCAGCCCCCTGCCACTGTTGTTACACTGTGGTATTGGGCAGGATTGTTGTCTTTACCTGGGCTGTCCTGTTTATTGAGCAATTAGCTATTACCATCTGAGCTAATGCTGATATCACCGGAATTAGAATCAATACTCTGGAGTTCCAGATTGAATTATATGTTAAAGACATGTTTGGCACTGTCTGATATCAAACAGTCGATTTCAACTCTTCTTGGGCTGATTAAAGGTTTATTAATCTAATTAAATTCATTTTTTTTTAATGTTTTTTGGCTGCATTATTCTAAACCTGAGAACAAATTGTGTCTCCATTTCCCCAAAACGTGACAGATGTAATGTTGGTGATGGTACACTGGGTTATTTATTCTTTTTTTTTTTTCCTTGAGCTTAAACATATTTGGTTTAATATTCTTCAACTGTATGGCATTATTTATAAGAGACAATAATACTAGATGCTTTGACCATAATACTTGGATGTCCTATTCCCACTGATAAACTGGTGGGAAACAATTGTCTTTTGTGATCAAAGAAAGAGTTATGTTAAGAGAATCTGTGGCACCTGCTTGTGATCATAAATGGTTGATACGGTGTCTTCCTTTTACTTCAAAAAGATATAAACTGTGGGACTATCATAATACGGTAGGTTTAAAATTCGGGGGCCTTTTATGGACCCAGCATTTTGAGTTTTGTACCCCTTTGAGCGTTTTGTCTGACCATGAGTATCCCTCTCAGTCAAAAGTTTTGACAATAACTAATTATAAAATAAAGAGTATTTTATTTCATCTTTTTAACTTGAGCATTTTTTTGGCATGTTATTCTTTCCAATGCAAATAATATAAAAGAAAAACATAAATATGTTGCCCGAAAGCTAGTTAGGTATCAAAATAAATACAGAATAAATCATACCATAAATCTGCCTAAAACTGGACCTCCTCTGAGTAGCTATCCTGTAATCACAATAAGGAATTGGGAACAAAATACTGAACAAAAATTATAGTCAGATCAACTCAATTTGTTTTACTTTTTTGTTCATCATTCATGACACCTGAGCTTGCTTTCATCAGGTGTAGGAAAACAGGTGAACCAAGGCTGTTCTATACATACAGTCTGTTCCTCTGCTTGGTTTTGATGTGTGTCACAGCTGAATGTGAACTCAAACATATAAGAAAAACTTACTTTTTGACTGAAAAAAGCTATTTTTAATTTTTAGTTGGGTCCTCACAAAGTAGAACAGATCCCAGCCCTATTTTATTCTATTACAAACCACTGAACCCAGTTATTGTGTATGTATTTCTCATATTTTTCCAGTTGTCTTTTGTTTGTTATAAAAAACATTTCAATAAAAATATTTGGGAAAAAAGCCATCAAATTATCAGAAACCTACCCAACATGGTAGATATTGTTCTGAATATCAGGGTGGAAAAAATCCTTCTGGCCATCTCTTCTGTTGGTCACTTGAGTAGATTTTTGTTCCACTGCACCTAAAAGAGATTTTTGTTTATACAAGCATCAGAACACCGCACATACCGTATTTTCACGACTATAAGGCGTCTTTTTTTCCCCTCAAAATGTGCGGTGCGCCCTATGGTGCGGTGCGCCCTATGTGTGTTGTAACTGCGACTTTTGAGACCACCTCATTGAGGAGATGATGAAAGAGTGGCTGAATGTAAGGAGACCAGGTGTTTTTTTTCCACCCCTTACCTTTCCCCTTATCCTGTCACTCCACGAGTTGAGGTTTAACAGCTGATGTGAAAAACATGGTGAAACAAATTAAGCTGTGCTCGCTGTTATTCAACCGCTGGACATC